AATAAAAAAAAAAAAAAAAAAGGTTTAATTTTTCCCTATACCGGTAAGTGATACTGCCGATAAAATAAAAAACAAGAATTTACTCCCCGTGCACAACCACTGGTTTCTTTGGGGAGCTTTCTTCTTGTTTATTTACCTGTTATAATTATTTGTTAAAAATGTATACATTACTTTTCTTTTTTTTCTGCTATTTTATTATTGTAACAAACTAAATATATTATGTAAAAAATAAATATGTAAAACTATTATATGGTAAATAAACATTATTATTATTATTATTATTATTATAATTTCAATTTGTTAAGTTGTGTCAATATTAATCTCGGGTGATATCTGATTGTTAAAATGTACTTTTTGTCTACGACCTTGCAGATAATCATTCAGCCACTATTATACTTTTCCACCTACACTATATTGTTGAATTTTCTTAAGTAAAATACCCGTATCAATGGTCTCAAATGCACGTTTCAGATCTAAAAAAACAGCTACTACATATTTATTCTCATCCACATCATTTTTACATTTATTCACCATTAACTGTAATGCAGACTCACATTAATACTTTTTTCTGAACCCAGACTGGTTAGTTATTAAAATAGAATTATTATTAACATGTTGAAGTAGTTGTTCATACACAACCAGCTCTAATACCTTTTCAATTGACGGGAGAGTATGTACAGGCCTAAATTCTTCCGATTTTAATGTATTATTAACTTTTTAAATTGGAACAATAGTACTAATTTTTAGTTGAGATGGAACTTTTTCAGTATCAAGTGGGGTATTAATTAAGTTTAAAATAATGTGCCCAATTGTTGCATACACTTCCTTTAGAACTTTAGAATCAAGAATATTAAATGCAGAATATTTATTATCTAAGGAGTTCAAAATTTTATGTAAGTCATGTAAAGTTAGTAAATTAAAGTTGTGAAATGGTAAGTATAAATTATTGTTTAGATTATGCCAGGGAACAGTTGCATCAATACTTTCAATAATATCCATAATACTTTCAACAAAATATTCGTTAAATTTAGTTGCTATGTCAACATTATCATAAAGGATAATATGGCCTGTTTGATCACTAAATTGAACATGATCAGTCATATCATTTAATTTAATATTTACTAGTTTTTTTTTAAGTTTTCCACATCTCTTTAGGATTTTCTTTGAAACAATAAATTTTATTAAAATAAGTAGATTTTTTTGATTTAACTACCTCATTTCTACATTTTTTTAAATTTATTCCACATATTCAGCTTTTGATATTCTGCACATGACTTGAAAGACTTGTAAGCATTATCTCGGATTTTAATTTTATTGTAAACCTCATTATCAAACCATGGTACATTAGGGTTATACTTACATGTCTGAATAGGGGCAACCTTATTTGAATTTGAATATAACTCATGATAAATTTTGTATATTAAAAATGTTAGTTTCATTATAATTCCTACTTTTTTATACATTTGTTTGAAGTATTGCTTGTATTGAAAAAAATTACAGAAATCACAGAATGATCACTGATTTTCGGAGTATCATGAACTTTAGCATCACAGTTATCATCATTAGTTAATACAAAATCGACTAGAGACTTACTATCAATAGTTATACTTGCGTAGGTTTAGTAACTTTTTGTTCGATACCATACTTGAGAAAAGATTCTTAATTTTGTTAACATAAAAACTACCACCAAGCAAATTTAAATTAAAATCACCCACTAATACAAATCTATGCACTTTTGAAACAATATTGTCGCAAATGGTTTCAAAATCTAGAAATTTTGCATCCGAACTTGATGGAGAATGGTAAAGACATCCCACAATCCAGACTGCTGATGAAAAATAGCAAAAAAAACTATACTTTTTTAGTAGAATATCCACCTCAGTACTGCTGCCAAAGTCACTGTATACTGTATACAATGCAATAATACAGCCACATTTCGATTTCTGCAGCACATTGCTCTATGGCTTGGATCAAAATAATGTTATGGCTCTACAAAAGTTACAAAATCGAGGCATGAGGGTTATTTCGAGATATAATCGGTACTGTAGTATTTCCACTATGCTTAATGCTTTGCAGTGGATTTCCATATTCAAAATTATTAATAATTTACTACCATCTTATTTTTCCGAATTTATTATTTATCAAGGTGACACTCATTCCTATAATACGAGACAAAATGATAAATTTTATGTACCACGATGTAAACTATCAATAAACTATCAATAAAAATACTTTTTTACAAAGGATTAAATGAATATAACAAACTTCCAATATACCTAAAGTGTATTGGTAATATTAACGGTTTCAAGAAACAGCTAACAAAATACATCCAGCGTGATAAAATTTAACAAGTTGTATAGTGTAGTTTTAATATATCTGATATTTTTTTATATTTTTAAAATTCTTGTCGTTAATTACTATTTACTGTGTTATTACTTTTTTAATTCAACTGCTCAGATATTGATGTTTGTACAACTAATTGTACTGTAATTGCCCATCACTAGAGCATAGTCCATACAACCATCCATTTTCCTTACATACATACAGTAACAATTCCCATCTTAAGACATTTAGGGTGTAAAACTTATTCAAATTTAAATATAACACATAAAATGTACATGAAAAGACACATTACATCACACTACAGATGTCCCATGATTCGACTTAAAACTTGATTGAGCTGTGCTTTTCTGCTTATGAAACCAGTTTAAGTTGGGTGAAAATTTCCGTTTTTGAAAATGATGAAACAAACTAATTTTTCAGTGCAATTCTAATATAAATTTTCCAATTTTAATTATTTCTTTTCATCCAATCTAATTCATAAATAAGTTGCATTTCTGGGTTCGTAAATCAAAAACATGTCACAAAAACTGCATCTGAGCGGCCGTTATCCAAAAAATAACTATGGTTTATTTTTGTGCGGATTGGCGTTAGACAATTAGAAAATCTTAAGTCAGAGGTTAAAATATTAAAGGCAGAATTTGAAAGATGAAAAGAGCGAGAACTTTGTCATCACTGAAGACATCATTAACGAATTGCATGAACTTGAGAAAAGGGCTAATAATCTTTTAATATTTAAGTTACTGGAATTTGACTCCGATTCAATCGATAGTTCCGAAAGGGTTAATGACTTGATTAAACAAGCTGTAGGAGAACCAGTTAACGTAGAAGTTGCAAAGATCTTTCGATTTGGTAAGAAGAATAAACATGGAAACCGTTCTGTTAAGGTTATTTTAACAAGCACTCACAATGTTCACAAAATATAAAAAAAATAAGCGTAATATTGTCGACAAAATAATGTTCATTCACTTGGAACAAAGTCCTAAACAGAGATATATTCTAAAAATGTAAGAAATTAACTACAACGGTGAACAGAATTTCTCAATAAAATATTTTAACAATGTTCCTAAGATCGTACAAAAAAAAAACTAATAAAGCCTTGTCAACGGGCTTTGTACTACCAGAATGTTAGGATTGCGCACCAAATTATCTACTTTGCCTTAATATCTCAAATTGTTCCTATGATATAATTATTTTCACTGAAACTTGGTTATTTACTGACCTTGCGGATCCTGAACTAGATCTTTATAACTACAAAATCTACAGACAAGATCTCACAGCCGAGTCGATTGATTCGAGCAGAGGAGTGGGTGTTTTGATTGCAGTAAAGAAAATGTTTTGCTAGCTGCCTTAATCCATCTAACGCATTTTTTTTTTTTAATAACACCAAATAAACTAACCACCTGGTTATTACATAAGATTCCCTGATAGATTGCAGAGTTCTGCCCCATTGGCAGACGTATGGTAAACGTAATTAATTCCCTTTTCAGGTCCTATATGAGTGGATCGTGTTGTTTTTAAGTGCTTTAATTCATTCATATAAATAAGTGTAGTTATTGTGAGGACATAGAAGCCAGGGTAGTGTTAAAACTGCCAGTGAGATTAACAGGTTTCTGTATGTTCCCTCGTATAAGCACCTCCTATGCATCTAATTATTTTCTTTTGTATAACAAACATTATGCATATACACTGAATTTCCTCGGAATGTTTTCCTTGCGATAGCTTGGATTGTACCAGACCAAAGTAGGCTAATTTGAGTACCTGTGTTAACAATTCCTTTGAGATTTCTTATTGGAAAACATAAGCTACTTAGATTTGAGACTATAAATAAGTTTTGTGTATGTGCTTCCTATGTCAGTTTGTGATCGACAGTTACACCTAGATATTTAAATTGAAATACCTGTTTAATTGTGGTATGTCTGATAGAGGTGATGCATTTTTAAACCCATCAGAAGTTTAGTTAGCATCAGCCACTATGTGTTGAAATCGATTGGTGGATACTATCCTAGCGGTGTCGTTAGTACATTTTATCATTTTTGCATGAGTGGACTGTCTGCCATGAAAATAATAAAAGACAGATGCAAGAGTGAAGCCTTGTGGCACCCCATACATACTGATTTGGGTTGCGATTTTACATCCTCCAAAGTTGGAATTTAAGATCTACTTGCAAGATAGAATTTTACTCAATTGAGAGACACTCCCCTGACTTTGATTTGACACGGCTTTTCCATGAATAGATCATATAGTCAAACTAATTGATAGTTTCCTTTACTTGGGTTGTTATAAAATTACACATGGTTGTGGAACTTTTCTGTCTAAACCCATGTTGACATTCAGGTATTATAATTATAACTGATATTGGGGTCAATTCTGTAACAATTCCTTTATATTTAACGGCCTCTAAAAATATTGGCGGCCTATAAAAATATGTTCGTATTCGTTAATTTACTTCTGTCATTATTTAAACAGATTTCTTTTAGTCCTCTAATGTATTTTAAAGATCCGTTTAAATAATGACAGAAGTAAAGAAGAAAATATTTTTAAAGGCCGTTAAATATAAAGGAATTGTTACAGAATAGACCCCATTACCAAATAACTTTGACTTATTTCTAAAAAACTTATATTTTTGTCTTCAATGATCTGAAATTATTTTTTTTTAGTTTAGTACTGCTACTGAAACACATATAAAAACCTATGACATTCGATCTGGAGAACTAGCCTGGAATATTGATAATGCACATTGTCAATATATAAGAGATATGGATTACAATATGAACAAACTGTACCATTTAGCCACTTGTGGAGATGATGGGTTTTTAAAAATCTGGGACTACAGGCAACCAAGTCTACCAATATTTTCTAGGAGTGATCATTCACATTGGTAAGAAACATTTAATTAAAAAAATAGTTTAGGTATGAAATTTTCAATATGGAAACTATACCTTACAGTGAGTTAAACAAGGTATAATAAGAACACTAACATATCAGGTATAGACCTCTGTCGCTCATTAAGCAGATATTTGTTTGATGTATGTAGGGGAGCTAGCAAAAGTCGAAGTCATATCGGTGCTTCTGTGTGCATGTTCCGATTAAACTTTGTTCGACTCATTGTAGGGTATACTTTTCGTGATGAAAATTTATCGCCTGTATCAGTATTAGTTTCCAAATCAATTCTTTAGAAAATATTTGCATGTATGTAGTGAGAATTCCTTGAAATTTTCAAAACTAGAACTTGCAAAATGCTCTTCTATTAGCTTATCTCTATGATTCAAAGGTTATAACTAATCTTTCGTTGCAAGCCATACACAAACCTTTACCATTTCAAAAGTTTTTCATTTTTAAAATTAATTCAGAAATACTTAAAAATATTGATTGATAATTCTCTACAATGTTAATATTCGAATAATTTTTAATAAAAAATAAAATAATGTTTAATAACTTGTGTTTTAGGATATGGTGTGTAAGATTCAATCCTTTCCATGATCAGTTAATACTTACAGCCAGTTCAGATGCGAGAGTATTGCTCTCTAGTGCAGCAAGTGTAAGCTCAGAAAATATTAGTGAAACCCTAATAACAGAGGATAGGGAAGGTTTGGATTCAAAACAAACGTAAGTATTTGTTCCAGTCATTAAAAATTTTGTTAGACCCTACCCATCTTATATTCTGTATCTTATTTGATTGTGTCAGTCATACAGTATTGTTACAAAAATCAAAGATGAGGCGCTAAGATAATCTTATCTTTCTGAACCACAAACAGCTAATAATTATTTATAAATCACTAGTAGAGTCAATGGGATAACTGGGGGGTTTATATGATTCAACCTCTCATATTTATACAAAATCGCATTGTCAAAATTATCTACAAAACAAGTATTAGAAATTAAACATTTAAAAAAAACTGACTTCAAAAACGTGCAAATGCCATCAACACATCTGAACTAAATTTATACGGGACCACCCTGAGGTACCCTCTTACTGACAAAAAAAGAATCATATAAATCAGACAAGGTATTATCGCTAAACATACATAAAAAATGAAGAGTTTGAGGATTTTCTCATGGACCCAATTATTAGATTTCAACCAAATTTATATGGGACCACCCCTGAAGTACCATTGAAATCGGATACCGTGTTAAAGAATTATCGCTGAACATACATAAAAAAAAATATTGTGAGGAATTAAGAACCTCCTCCTTTTTTGAAGTCAGTTAATAATATCACTTTACCTGACAGGTGATGAAATCCTAAACATAAGACTTACGTTGTATTTTTATATAAAAAAAACCAGAGTAACCAGGATTTTTTGACAGCAGTTCCTGAAAAAACTAAAACTAATTTCTTGGTTACTTTTGGACCACTTTTGTGACAGATTAACACTCGACTTAATAGTAACCATAAAAAAAAACATAAAAAGTTAGTAAAAAAAATATTTAATAGTAATTAGATTTTTTTTGTTAATAGATTAAAAGATGGACCTCTTCAGTGGTGTGAACATGAAGATAGTGTATATTGTGTTGAATGGTCTCCAGCAGAACCATGGATTTTTGCTTCCCTTAGTTATGATGGTAGACTTTTGATATCCCATGTTAAAAAATCATTGAAATATCAAATATTATTGTAAAATCATTTTATCTTAAATATTATAGGTATAGATGTTATTTATAAGAATTTATATATTAAATTATAAATCTAAAATGTGTTAATATTACCTGTCTTATCCTCTTAATTTATTAGTTTTGTAAAAATTGGAAACTGTATTTAAGAATGGAAGGACATTGAGTAATAAGAGATACATAAAACAAGTTATTTATTTTGCCTCTCTATCCTTTAAGTTCCTAATTACATGTTTAACTAAATATTTCTGTATGACTGGAACAAGTTCTTCACAAGTTTTGTCAAGAATGCCAATAGCTTCATTAATTTTTTCTAAAGAAATATTTCCAGATTGATAAAACTGAGATATCTGATTATGCATATGCAATTTGGAAATAATGACATTGCCATGATCTGTATCAAGTGTCCTTGGGTATAAACAAATACTTTGTTCCTCATTTGTTGGATCAATAAATAGATTATCTTGTTGAATTCCCAATGATACTGAAGTTATAATATCATACATGGGAACTCCTGCATGGGCTAAAGCTAAACCTGCAGCAGTTATAGCTGCACTAAGACAAGAACCATCATTGTGTAACACCATGGCATAAATATCCACTTGAAAATTAGGAAACTCATGGCTACAAACTGTTGATTCCAATGCTTGTTTCATAATAGCACTATATTGCTTCTCCTCAGTATCCTGTATGTGCAAACGCCTTTTATTGCAACTAAAAGGAGCATATTTAAATTCACAATATATTTCACCTTTGAGAGAATAATCTGGTCTGTTAGGAATTTCTCTAGGGTCAAAAACGGAGACTATCACTTTGGTATTCTCCAATTCTATATAAGCAGAACCTTTTGCTTGACTTACAACTCCAGTTTTAATAACTAAAACAAGCCAAAATATATTTTAGACAGTCACTTAAATTCAAAAACACTTACAAATCTTTCTGTGTTCTAAAAACGTCCTAGAATCTGATCTTTGTCCCGTTCTTTTAATGTCTTCATGTTTTTCATTCAATGACTGTTTATTTGTTTTTGCATATAAACTGTAAGGGTATGTTTCATCTGGTCCATTTATTCTTTTGTGATCGACGGGCATAATTTAATTCTAATAAATAATGTTATTTCGACAAACAAAAAAATAATGAGTTTGTTCGCAAGATTTATGATCGCGTAATTTGTATTTTCTTTCAAAAGTTTGAAAAAAACATGTTTCTAAGATAAATATAACCTCATTCTCTCTCATGGAGGAAGGAGTTCTCTCTATTATGTATTGGCCTCTTCCTCGGTCAAAATCCATAACCATACCGGGGAACTGACAGATAGACATGGCAACCCTGTGTGGGCCACTGATGGAAGAACAAAGCCGATCAACAAAATCAAGCCAACTAGCGAGGTGATATTTGACACTTTGGCGCCCACATGTGCGTATCGAAATACACTAAAAAGGATCCTCAAAGTTAGATTTAACATTTATTACATTCAACTACACCTTTTAATTTAAGAAAATCACTTAAAAATGATTTTTGAACGCAGCCGAAACAAATGTTCCAATAATAATTATTATTAAAATAGGTCGTTATTAATAAAAAAGAATATAACTTATCGTAGTACGCCCGTGGAAAACGTGACGTAGAATGCTCGAAATTAACCATGTGGCTTCCAAATTGTCATGCGCACCGACCGTTTTTTTTCACCCATGTCGGCTTAGAAATTAGGAGTGAGTAGGGTTTATGTCATATAAGCCATCCAGGGCTGGAACTCTGTGTCATGTAGAATTCTACTTACCGCTTTCTACAATGGAATCGATTACTTTCTTTTGTGATAAATACGTTATCAACCGCACGGGAAATATCGCAATGTGGTTTCTTATGAAAATAGTTATCCTGTAGTAAGTATATACTCGTTGGTTCTCCGCTATGTTACACAGAGTGCCACAAAAGAATCTATTGTAGAAAGCGATAAGTAGAATTCTACATGACACAGAGTTCCAGCCCAGTTTAATATCAAGGAGCGCGTTCAGATGATTTTACACGGGAGTAGACTAATTTTCTTAGATCGTTTGCCCAGGTTATTCCAGAGTAATTCTCATTGGCACAAAGTTTCTGAACGGCAACGAAAGTAAACGTCAACGAATTTGAAATTTAAAGTTTGTTACAGATATTTTATAATGTTCAATGTCCCACCCTTCTCGTTGTTACTCGTGTCTCGTATAGTTTTACTTTTTACTCATAGTTTTTTTAGTTGCTTTTTCTTTTTATTTCAATATTAACCTATTCACAACCCTATTTACAATCAAGATTATAATGAATGATCTATAAAGTCAATAAGACAAGAAATTTTAGATTATTTATTTTAAAATTCCATATACAAACACCTTTATGACACACAAAAATAATATGAAACAACAACTTTTGCAAAAGAACTCTACGTTGTCAAATTCACTCAAATGAACCCAGTCTAAACTGGGTAAAAAAGTGCATTCCAGACTAATTTGACTCGACTTTCTGAACGAGAGTAAATAAATGCCCAAATTGAACGCTCGACTGTTCTTGAACGAACCAAGACCAAATTGATCGCACTTGCGAGGAAATATGGCCACTCGCAAACGAAACGCTTTTAGCAATCTATATAGCTTATAAATGTGTTATTCACCTAATGACAACAGGCCCACACCACCTTATCATTGAATGAATAGTTAAAAGGATTCACCTTTTAATACAATACCTATATTACATTTGTCCTCAGTTAAAAAGACATTTATAAAATATATAACTTTAGTGTTAATAAAATGTAATATCCTAGTCTCTACTTCACATTTAAATTATTGATAGGCATTTTAAAGATTTGACATTATATATCTATTTGCTCCAAGTAAGTATTCGTTAAATATGTATTATTATTTGTATTTATTTTCATCTAATAATATTTATTTAAGTTATTAATAAACATATTTTAAGAATGTTCTATTTTATTATTTATTGATATATCTTATATTTATTTAATAAAAATATGCAGAACCAACTCTCCACATTAGACCCCTTATAACAAATTAATTCTTCAAATTTGGTATAATCGACCTAAATTATTTTGTAAAATAAAAGTTTCGAACTTACTAGTTCCATACTTTATTTTATAAAATAATTTAATGTGGAAATCATTTAAAATTTAATTTAAAACTACTACCTACTCCTAAAAATTACAATTTGAATTTACCGCCATCTGTCAATTGTCATTTTAGTTCCAGCTCCAAACACAAGGTGGCGCTAATTTGGTTTAAAAGTTTAACATTGGCGTGGGGTCTCTAGAAGATACATGCTTTGTGGATAAAGCGGTCCTACACTCCCCTACTCCATCACCAGTGTTGCCAGACGACCAAAATCAAATCGTACAATGCTGTAGAAATTCTTTTTTTTTTCTCATAATTTTATCTTACGAAACTGACCTTACTAGTGTGACGTTATCGGAAGCTGGTTAATTTAAGAGTTTATGGGGTCAGGGTAATTAGATAATAATTTTATTGAATAAACATAAAACAACATAAAAAAAATAACAACCCATTCTTATTCAGCTAAAGTTTCAGAATAGGACCAAAATTGTAGAGAATTACATCACAAGCAACTCTTATGATGATTCGTATGCATTCCTTACCTGTATAGAGAAAAGAAAGTAAAAAATAGCCTTGACAGTATTTTTTAGGCATTTGCGGTATATTTATTATGGACCGATTCCATCGTTGTGTTAAACGGAGATTAAAATGACATTGTTAATATAAAAATGTCACTTTAAACTTCGTTTAACACAACAGTGGAATCGGTCCTTACATACCTATTTTATTTAATAAAAAATAGTTTTCAACCGGGTAGCAGATGGGCGAAAGTCGACCTTACTTCGTATACTGTACTATAATGAGTAATTAATAAAAAATAAACAAATCTATCATGCCAATTTTTTTTTATATATATTACTTTTTTGTCGAAAAATTGGCTAATATACTAGTTTCTCTCAAGCAAAAAATAGTTGGCAACACTGATACGTATAAAGGTCATTTGACTCAGTTGTCATCATATGAGACTTTTGAGAGAAGTGGGGACATTGCCGATCCGTGATCCGATTACCTAATAAGAGAGAACTACCAATTTGTTATTTTACTTATATCTGAGCAATTCTAGAAAAAAATGGCTGTAAGCTTTGTTCAAAAGCGTTTCATGTCTAGTGCATTACAAAAATGGGCGTACAATCTGTCTGGTTTTAACAAATATGGTCTTTGGAGAGATGACATCCTGTATGAAAATGAAGATGTTGCAGAGGCTCTAAAAAGGCTTCCTGAGAAAATTAAGGATGAAAGAAACTACCGGATCCTCAGAGCCGTCCAACTTTCACTCACCCACAGTTATCTACCTAAAGAGAAGTGGACGAAACTTGAAGAAGACAAATTATACCTAACTCCCATCGTCGAGCAGGTAATCAAGGAGAAAGAAGAACGTGAAGAATGGAACAAGAATTATTAGACAAATATGTAATGGATTAAGTAGTTGTAAATATAACTTATTGAGTTAAATGTGTTTAAAATTTGTAAATACTATATAGTATACCGCACATCATGAAGAAAACCATATTAAGTAATAACTTGTAATTTTTGTGCCTTATTTAGAAACAACACTCTCTAGGGGTCTACTTTTACACAATAAAGAGTGTTGTTTCTAAATAAGGCACAAAAATTACAAGTTCTTAATACAGTTCTCTTCCGAATGTTTTTTTTTAGAAAGTTTTTATCATAAAATAAAGCGGCTCTACACTAAACCTTCCTTTTGTTTAGTTTCCTTGGTGGCCATAACTGCCTCTGTTAGTGCTGGTATCACACAAAGGAATACTTTTTGCAGAAAATGCAGTGGTAGCAAGATCAAACCTTCAGTCCTGCCAGGGTTGACGAATTACATTTATTATAAAAATTAGGATATAATGATAAATTGAGGTTAATCTGCTGCTCAAATGTGGCCAGTTTCATAAACGAAAATAAGTACCATACAAATTATGAGGATTTTTATTTTCGTTATATATGATAGATTTCAAATGCTGATACATCTGATTGTTTCACTTAACTTTTTAGTAAATCCTTCTAGAGGGTGGTAGGTGTGTACACACAGTTTGATAAAGAATGAAAATACGTAGGTAAAGTGTGTAATAATGAAAAATATATCAGTAATATTGTAGTTGAGGGGTCTAGAAATGCACATATTCACACCACTCTGCACTGACGTCTAGAATTTGAATTTGCACAAGCACGTTGCTAAATCTCCACTTTCATTTTAGCTTGCTTTATTTCATAGTTTATTTTTTAACCAAATTGTAACCTCTGTACTTTAAAATGTATGATAAATAAATATAAAGATTTATATTATATTTTGAAATAACAATTGTTTTGTTTTATAAATTTTGTAGTTATCACTATTGAAAGGTATTATTGAGATTAAAAATAACAATCGTATTACTTGAAAATCTTTAGAACATTTTTTATTTTTATGGGATTTTTAATCAATGTAAAAAATGGTAAATAGAAGTAAAATAGTTATTTCAATCTGTGTATTCCCTGGTTCCAAATAATTAAATATGACCTGGCAACTATGTAACGATTCCAATTTCCAACTAGCAGAACAGGAATGGTGCGAACAGGCGCTTTTCCAGACCCTTCAACTACAACATTGCCATAAAAAAATATATATTTGAGAAAATATTTATAATTTGCTCTAAGTACACATCATTTTATAACAAAATAGAGGAATAGTGTGTAAGGGAGTTTGGTTCTTTTTTATTTTGGTCTAGATTTACTAGTCCATTTTTTTAAACTGTAAATAGATTTAAGGTTGTTTAAATATTAATAATAATATAATACATTAAATATTTCAAAATAGTTTAACTAGCGACTGTATCATCTTACTGTGGTCCATATACATCACAAATATAAAAAACAATCGTCAATGTACATACAAAAGAAAAGATACATAAATGAAAGGTACAAAATAAAATGAGTGTAAATAAATAATTAAAAGCAAAATAACACAAACAAGTAAGGGGACTTAGCTGGAAATTTTAACATAACTAATTAGTGCTTTCCTAACATTGTTTAGCTTCTTAATGGATGTTATATCATGAGGTAGATGATTAAATTGAACTAGACCTTTATAATATAAACTATTCATAGAGCCCATCTCTATACTTAATAGAATTTGCAAATCTTTGATACCAATGTTTGTCTGAAACATGAGTAAGTTGACCAAATCAAATACTCAGATAATAAATTATTTACCATTTTAAAAATAAAGGTCATTGCCTGCACATAAAGATACTGTTCCATATTCAACCAGTTCAAAGTAATCAGCATAATCTGAATGCTAGTGTATCTATTACATCCTAAGATAACTCTCATTGACCTACTTGAGTTTTTGACGATATTTACGGAGTTGGGTCACCTGAATCCGTTTTGACCATTTTTGGGATGATGTTTGTATCCATGAGCAATCAAAAACTGATATAGACAACCACCAATTTTAATAAGTTTTAGTCCATCCTGCAGTCAGGCGATTAGATTTTGGGCATAGTCTGAGCATCTAGGGGTACTGTATATAGGGTATTTTTATATCTTAAGGTACATTTCTGTTATTTATGAATATAGAAGAAAATTCTTCCAATAAGAGTTGGTGACATTTGCTATGTTTGTCCTATACATGATTTCTCTAAAATGAACTATTGAGAAATTTAAGGAAAGTTTAACATTGAATTTTAAAATGTTTTAAATATTTTTTTTTTTTCGATTTATGGCCTAGGTGTATAAACCTAATATGCCAGTCTCAGTTTGTGTTTAAATTCTCAATCATGTGTTCTGTATAGGCTTTGTTACTGTTTCCCAACGCCACTTCAGGAACAGCACTGTTAATTAGAACCCAACAGTGAATGGTCGAGTGGGGAATCCTACCAAGGCATCAGAATTAATTTTAAATAATTAAATTAAATAAAAAAATCCCAGCCAACGGTGGGATTCGAACCTTGGATCCACAGGCAGAGACTCTACCACTGAGCCACCCACCCCCCAATAATTTGTGTATTTAATTAATATTCTTCATAAAATTTCATTTCTATAAATATTTTTACCATATAACAAGAATGATTTCTCCACCCAATGAATAAAAAATACAAATAAAAAAAGACATTTATTATAAAATAACTTAGCTTGTAACCTATCTACAATTACCATACAATATATATAGAGGGAGATGTTTAAAAAAAATATGAATGATACTAAATGTAAGGCACTAAAATAATTAAAATCTTATTGTTCTAATATTTAATTTTCATCTTCTTCAATTTTGGGTGCTAGGTAATATCTTAAGTGTCCCAGATCTGGTATTTGATATTCTACTACAAGTGGTACATTGTCAGACATAGAAAGCTGCACAACAGGTGTGAGAGGAGTCGCTTTGGTAAAGGAATTTAAATATTGACAAGCAAATGTGAGAGTAACAGGCTCTTGCATATCTATGCTAACACATTCCTCTTCTTTGTCAAAGTTGCTGGTTTGGGCAATTTTAACATTAGCACTTCCAATATCACCTGAAGTAGAGAATTTAACACCTTCTTTGGTACAAGAAATTACTATAGACTCTCCAAATTGGGATAAATCTTTTACAATTCTTGCAAATTCTCCAGAAGGCATTTTAATCACACAAGAAAATTCAGTTTCTGGTATTCCTAAGTGTTCTTGATCCAGATTCATTAGTTTCATTTCATAATCAGATATTTTATCTTGTTTCTTAGCTTCAAACATGAAAGTTACAGTATCTGCATCATCTTGTGCTTTAATTGTCACTGTATCATCATTACTTGAACATTTGAAGATCTTGGACATACTATAAATAAAAAAAAATATATTTCAATTGCAATTAATCAAGACAAGTGGTTTTTTAAGCAAAAGAATTAAAAGTGAATTTATTTGACACCAAATAAAATATCAATTTCCTACATCCATTAAAAAAAGACCTTCAAGGAATGAAGAAGTTTAATTGAAAAGGATCAGTATAGTGAAAGTGTTCTGGATATGATAGTAACTTTTTTTATAGTTTCAAAGGTTTCTCAGCCAACCCAGTGTCAAGCAGTCAATATTAATTTACAGACCATTAGTGATCTATCGACAGATCAAACAAAGTACATTTTTAAATAATTTGTATGGTTCTTTGTAGGATAAGATGGGAGCCATATTAGCAGTAATGTAATTTCTGCTGATGGCATCCAGATTACAAATTGTAGTGGGTTACCATTTTGACAATGTTGAGTGTGACACTCACTTTTGCACAAGTCATGTACTTTTATTTTCTATGACCACAAAACAATGATATTACCAAAGTAAAAAACCAATCTGACTATAGAGGTGCAATCTAGATGTGGCTGATTCTAGGTTTGGTTTTCATTTGCTTAATTAGTCCTAAACAATTTAGAAAGTGTTTTGTTGAAATTAAAAACATTGCTCTTCCAATTATATTTTTACAGAATGATAAAGACCAATAAGTATTAGATGCAAGAAATAGTGCAATGAAACAATGTTCTTCATTCTTTTTTACTTATTTAGATAAATGTAAAAATTAAGAAAAAAATACATATAGTTATAGAAAGAAATTATAGATCTGGTAGAGAAGTAGATTTTTATCCACCCACATGTGATATAAGGCACTTCAATATTACTAAACAGTACAAGTCAGTTAAAATAAAATGATTTACATTTCAATTGAATCAATTTTGTTTGTGTGTCCAAAAAAAAATCTGGCTTGAAAAGACAAAAACTTCAGCATTTGTGCTGTGTTAGGGAAAAAATGCAATCATCCTGGCAGAATTTGATCCAGCAACTTTGTTACTGTTTGTAATCCTACAATATAAATCTACCATATATGCAGGGAGAAATGCACTTACTGATATAATTTTAATATAGATAGCCATTCATGAAGTATGTCTAGGGGTTGTAGACGTTTTAAGAAACGTACTGTTTAAAAATAATCGAAAAATGAATTTGTATCCAAACCATAAATTTCCTTCAAAAATATATTTATTTATGTTTTATTTCTGTTGCAACCTCTACAACTAACACAGGAAAATAATGAAACACATAACACTTCAAAATAATGTTCCCCGAGAGCTAGGATTAATACATAGGGGCAAATTAATTGTAAAAAATATTTTAAAAAGTATTATTTTGGACTATTTTGTAAAATTTCTAAAACTGTCCAGATAAATGGTTCCCGAGATATGGCCAGACTCGACCTTAATAGGTATTATTGGCTCTAGAAATTTACCATTTAAGGCCCAGTTGTACAATTCATTCTAGAGAATCTGGTTTTGTATGATCTTTTGTCACTCCTGACCAAGTTCATTTGAACTTCTGAGCTTGAGTTATACAATTGGACTGAGGCAAATTAAATGTTAAATTGTTAAGAAACGTTTTTAAAGGAATACTCCCAAAACTGTCTAGTGAAATCAATAAGCCATGTAAGGTCAACAAATCTACGATGAATCCCTTCTCTTTATCAACAATATATATTTACCTTGCCAAGTTCATGCCCATAGTAAGATTTCTATCGCATCTGTATTTGTCGAACCCATCGGATTTCAAAGTTAAAGACACAAGAGAAACGTGAGAATTATCCATAGCTTGAAGTTGTATACCCGACTCGGAGCAATCAAAAGAAGCTTCATTTAAAAGATCTTTGATTGCATCCAAAACTTTTTTGAAGATAGCACTTTGTGTTAAACGAGCTTCAAACATGTTTACTTGTTTTATTAAATTCTAGACACTAGAAATAAATAAAATTTGATATGCTAAAAACCGAACGACTTGTCGACAAATGAAGTAAAATGCGAGGGAACTTTTTACTTTTGCCCGCGAAACGCGAATACACAAATATGTCACATGTCAGTGTCACTATAGTGTCAGTTGTCAATTTATTCAACTTAAGCCATTTTCAGTGTGAAATATTTTCGACCATTATTTTAAACCTAATTCAAAATGATGTCACCAAACAGAACGTTGGGAATCGTAAGGTTCGAACTTTACTTGAATGCGTTTAAAATGATTAAGAAATAAGGGCCGATTCCACCGAAGTTTAAATTACTAAACGAAGATTAAAATAAAATTTTTATATTAACAATGTCATTTTAATCTACCTACCGTTGTGTTAAACGGAGTTTAAAATGACATTTTACATTAACAACGTCATTTTAATCTCCGTTTAACACAACGGTGGAATCGGCCCTTAGGACCGTTGTGTTAAACGGAGATTAAAATGACATTGTTAATGTAAAAAAATATATATTAAAAAAATTGTCATTATTTCACTAAAGAAAGAAGATATTTATTTTTATTATGTTATTACAATGGATACATTTAACTTTTTAATAGTCGATATCACCTACAAAACATATTTTTTCTACACCGACATGGATATTAGCTTATCTACGCACATATTACAAATCGAAAAAGTATGTTATTGCGTTCAACTGAACGAATATAATTCATATCCATTCTAGGTAGTGAGAACACTAAAAAAAAAAAATTAAATCCACCAATCACAGTTCATATTTTGGTCACCGACTACTATTATTTTTAAAATTTTAAATAAGTGACAATTTTATCAAACTATTTTTCAGTTATTGAGATTAAAATCAGTAAGTTTTGTGTAGAATCGATAAATAATAGCATTTCTATTTTTATTTAGCCACAAGAAATAAATCTTAAATTTTAATCAAACTCTGTGAAACTAATTTAATTACGAGTATTAAAACTAAGATCCTAAATGTGGCGGTGATGGTAAGGGCAGTATTTCTTTCACGAGAGAGGCCCGGATGAGGCCCGACTTCAAATCTAAATTAAATCTTTTTTTTATGTTTATTTTATTTTATAAATTAATATAAAGTCGCCCATCTGCTCCGACTTTTTTTAACTGTTATTTAACTAATAGACCTTTAACTACACCTTTTACTACACGGTTCTTCGCCTTCATTATAATTTGGCAACGTCTCAATGACCCAGTGATTTTTGTGTTTTCTGTTGGAAACCTTGTTCTTTGCGCGGAATTTAAAACACCTGTAAAAAAAGAAGAAGTGGACAGTGGACCATTCCATAACCTCAATTACAAATTTCAAAACAAACCCCGGTGAGTCGTTCACGGTGAAACAAACTAACAAAAATGAGCAAAAATAGAGAATTGCTTTCAAAAATCGGTTTACGTTTGGACGGCAGAAGAGCAAACGAACTCAGAAGGATTCGCTGTAAATTAGGAGTATTTACAGAACCAGATGGAAGTGCGTATCTTGAACAAGGACTTACAAAAGTGCTAGCGGCAGTATATGGACCACATGAAGTAATTTATTTTTAAACATAATTATACTTGTTTTATACATAATAATGAATTTATTGTTTTAGGTCAGAGGTGGTCGCTCAAAAGCTCTACATAACAGTGCTATAATAAATTGTCAATTTAGCATGGCTGTATTTTCAACGACAGATCGTAAAAAAAGACCTAGAGGAGATAGGAAATCGACGGAACTTTCAATGCATTTACAACAAGCATTAGAAGCTGCAATCAAAAGCGAACTCTACCCATTTTGCCAAATAGATGTATTTGTGGAAGTACTTCATGCAGATGGAGGCATATACCCTGCTTGTGTTAATGCAGCAACTTTAGCATTAATAGATGCTGGTATACCTCTGAAAGAATATGTATGTGCTTGTACAGCCAGTTTAGCAAATAATGATATACCTATGTTAGATATTTCATATCAGGAAGAAGTATTAGGAGGTCCCACTTTGACTGTAGCTGCATTACCCATGTCTGGGAAAATTGTGCTTATGGAGATGTCTCAAAGATTTCATCTTGATCACTTGGAAAAAGTTTTGAACAAAGCATTACAGGGTTGTAAGGATATTAAAGAAATTTTAGATGCAGCTGTAAGGTTACATGTCCGAGATGTTGGGAGCTCAACTGGGTGGGCAAATGCAAATCAGTGAAATTATATTGTTTTTCTGATTTAATTTTAATAAATGCCAATTTAGTTAAGTTTAAAAATGTGTTATATATTTTTTTTTCTTTTTGGGCTCATCTGATTCGGTCTCTTATAATAGTGCAGCCTAATAATAATAATAATAAAAGATTTATTTGTACTTTTAGATTATAGTACATGATATAGGATAAGTCAGGTATATAAATAAAACTATAACTAAAATAAATCAGGTATAAACAACATTATTGAGGTAGGTACTAATCATACTGTACACACAATTATCTATTAAATAGTTTTTTAATTTTGTTTTAAAAATATAGGGGATGGTTGTTTTAATCGAGGATGGAAGATGAATAAAAAGAGTAAGTCTAGAGTAGTGTGGGCTGAGTTCAAATAGAGCTGATACATGTTTTGGAATATGAATTGCTTCATTCTTTGAATGGGGTAATTACTGAGGCCCTTTCTATGGGGCCTCAGTATTGCATTCGTGCAGACGAAAAAATGTTCTGACCCCCATTTTTTAAAACTTTTTCATGTTTCTGATCATTCTGAATCCGAAAATCCAAAAAAATGTTTTCGTCTGTATGTATATATGCCGGCACGATAACTCTAGAACGACAGTTCAAGTTCTGATTGACTTGCAGTTTTGATTTTCTTGAATAATTTCTTCTAACTTAGAACCCTATTGATTTTCAGAATTTTCAGTTCATCCTAACTACTTTAATAACAATTTTCTTAAAATCCGCCTATGCATTCCTTTTGTGATTATTTTAGGAATTTCAATTATTTCTAACGTCAAAATTCCTAACATTCTTCACATTCCATTGCCGCGTTTGAGAATCCACATCGGATGCATTTTTTACATCTCGAGCGTTTTTTTATCCACATCGGACACATCTGTCCCATTACATTTACGTATACTGAATCACGTGATCAAAGATTTTTTACATCTCAGATGCATCCGATGTGGATTCTCAAACGCAGCACATAAATTGCTAACATTCTCTAATGACCTCTCAAACAACAGCTGTTGATAGTAAAGGTGAAATTTCTAAGGTGGGTTGCGACCTTCATACTTGCAACCATATAGCCATTTTGGAGGCTATTTTCATTCGAAATTAGTCGCCAAGCCTGCCAATTTATGAAAAATATATAAGCAGTTTCTTAAAAATTACTTTTTATGGTGGCCTATAAGTAAGCCTACTACTATTTCGTCCCTAGCCACAAAAACACCATCAAATTTACTGGTTCTCTGTCGCAACCCCATAGAATAATTAACCGGCTATTTTATTTGGCAAAAATCAAAATAATGCTTGGCTGTGATATGTGAATGGCTCTTAAATGTCAAATTATTTAAAAATGTATACTTCTTTTGATATTTATTGCAAATAATAAATATCTCAATTCAGGCTTTCTATAAATAAAGGTACAGCAAAACAGATAATATAATGTTCTTATACAAAGCACTTTTTTATTATATAAAAGAGATGTAGAATGCCCATTTCAAATTTGGATCATTTATGATACCAAGGTATTTTGTTGTGTTTTTCATTTTAATTATAAAGTTGTCATTTATTTGTATGTTGAAAGAAGGCCTTTGTAAATTACATTGCTCTCTAAAACAAAAATAGTTTTGTGGCTATAAGTTGCTATAACCTATCTTTGCAAAACTTAATAATTTAAACACAGTAAGTGGTATTAATATAACATCAAATAATTTTTTAAAATAACCTACATGATCTCAAAACAAATAATCTGCGGATAAAACGAGGGGTAAAATAACAATAAATTAAGGGAAATACTTAAAAAGGGCAGGGTTTAAAGAGTATTATCACAAGAAAGTATATCCGTTCTGTTTATTTATCAACTATTGTTTTAGGTTACTTTTGAAAACATTTATTATTTTAGTCCTGTGCCGTCGGCTTGACCCTAACGAGATTACAACCCTGTTTTCCTCTCGCTTTACGCCTATTTGCATCTTAAGTTACGCTCTCTTCTACATGTCGTCAGCTGATCCCACCCGATCATAGCCGATCTAGTCTCACTCTGTGTGACAGAGGTGTGGATCTTGTCAGTACCACGGGGGTTTATATCATATGCACAATACGTAAACACGTTTCTGCGCATACTCCTCCGCGCTTGGGTGCTCTGAAGTCCGTTTTACAATAGCAAAATTCTATTAAAATGTAAAGCACATTGATTAATTTAATAACATCTCGTTCAGTAACACACAAAGTGTTGTTTCAAAAATTTTAATTCATATATTACAACAAACTAAAAAAAACATACCTTCACTTAGTTATTTGTACTATGTGAAGATGGCTTTCTGTCCGCTGCATGACTGCTGGCTGCCCGCTATAGCGGGCCCCGCGCGCGCTGTCAATAATGCTGCGTTTGAGAATCCACATCGGATGCATCTGAGATGTAAAAAATCTTTGATCACGTGATTCAGTATACGTAAATGTAATGAGACAGATGTGTCCGATGTGGATAAAAAAACGCTCGAGATGTAAAAAATGCATCCGATGTGGATTCTCAAACGCAGCAAATAAATAACATCAAAATCAAACAAATGTGTGGTTATGTCATGATTTTGTTGTCGACGAAAACATGTGAGTGGAACTACTTTTATTTTTTTAGATATAAGTTATTTAGGATTATTTAAAATCAAGTAAAGGTATTTTGATGCTTTAACATGTCTTTACCAGGCAGAATTCATTATAAACGCATAATTTCTAATGGTTATAGTACATTTTATAAGGCCCATTCCAAACGTAAATTTTAAGAACAAACATTTTTAAATTTCCTTCTGATATTGATCAAAGAACGGAATGGTGTCGTATTTTAAACATTCCACTTACAACCCCAATCATTATATATTATGAGAAAATCATATTTTGATACAAAATT